TTTATTTTAAGTGTAGGGTGGGGGATACTTCATTGTATGTTTGTAATTGTGATAATGGACTGTTTGATGTTCTTTGTTTTGTTCTGCTTTGATTGCTTTAGTGTTAGAGTAATAGTTCATTAGGTAAGTGAAAATAGTAAGTGACTTGTCCCGACGACGGATCTCTTTCGGCGGGGTTCCTGAGGGACTAAGTCGGAAAAACAAATGGAATATGTAGACTCTTCTTGATGACAGATCCTTTAGACAATGTTCTTGAGGGAAGTTAGTCTTGAGAAAACACCAAAAAGATTTTTTTATTTTATTTTTAGGTAGTGTAGTAACTCCCCCTTGGTTTTTCTTTGGGCCACAGTTCTTTTCCAAGGGTTTAGTTTGAACCGGGTATAGGTAGTTTTTGTTTATTTTAGTTCTTTTTAGTTTTTAAATTAGGACTAATGGGCTGCGAGCTAAATTCGAAGGAAAGCCCTTAGCATTGATACACCTGAGCACGATAGACACCAGAGTATAACGCCTAGCTTCATTGGTTGAATCCTGTTAGAGTGCCTTAATTTGTACGTTTGTATCTAACTTGAACGCTCAAAAGAGACTGTCTTGATAAACCAATCTGGAGTGAGTCATGTGCCATGTGTGTATGAGTTTTACTGTGTTCCATGTTTCATATTTAATGCTTAGAACTTGCCCTGTGTGTTTGCAAAGTGAAATAGTAGTCTCCTTTAGTTTTAGAAGTGATATAGGCATTTCTTTGTTGAACCAAACATATAAAATAAACCCACCTGAAGGCAATACATCTTAGTTAACCCTGTTGAGCCTATAAGCCTATTTCTTTGGCAACCACATTGTAAACCTTACCCAATTGTTTGAATAGCCTGCTGTTTGAACCTTTTTACCTCCCAATAAGCACTTGAATAGTAGTGAAAATATGCAAAACCTAAAGTGTGGAGTGGTGGTTTGGTTTTTGAGTGGAACCATTGAGATAGAGAAAAGATGTGGAACTTTGAAGCATAAAAGAAAAAGCACCACGAAAAAAAAACATATATATATGGGTTATAAATAATTATAGTGGTTGATAAGTGGTGGCTTCTACAAATTGCACCTAATGGATGAGGATGTTTTAAACAAATGAGGTGGAGTGTTTGGTTGGCACAACTATGATCTTTAAGTTTAATGTAACTGTATTAAAAGTGCTTAGGGAGGCTAGTCACTGTATCTAAATATATCCTACCCGTCCCTTAGACTACATTACAACCAAGTAAAGTCCTATTGATCTTAGACTGATTGGGCTCAATTAGTAGAGTATTACACTACGGGAAAGCCTATGGTGCTTCTTTGGCATGTGAATGTTCTTTCTGAGAGTAAGCGAATTTTGTCTATCTTAGTTCCTACTTCTTCTAATTATCATTATATGTGGAACTACTCTCTGGTGTGATGTGAGGGCATGTGATTCACAAAGGAAAGGTAAGTATTGACTCTTGTATAGGGCGGTTTGAGTAAGTGCTAATATTGCATGGCAGAGAAGGTTTGACTCTTGAGGTAAAGGTTGTTCACTACTAGGTGCAACTTTTGTAAAAATGTTCATGGTGTGAATCGTTAAGGGAAAAGCTTAGGGAAGGAATTTCTTGATGGAGTGTGGTGGATTGCTCGAGGACTAGCAATAGTTTAAGTGTGGGGTGTTGATAGTAGGCTATATAGTTAACATTTACACCTTAAGATGACCATACTTTGTTGTTGTTTTATAGATAAATTGCCAACAAAATGCTCTAAATAGTGTTCTTTTGTGCCACATGGAATATTATATGAGAGGAAGCAACATGTAGTGTTTTAGAGGCGATAATGTGAAGAAAACACCCACTCGAGAAGTACACAAGCACAAAGAAGCAAAAAATAGCCTGGGCAAGAAGGCCACCGCGACCGCGACAGGTTAATGAAGTGAGGCAGAAAGGTTAGCTTTCACCGCAGTCGACCGCGACCGCGGTGCACTGTTCACACAGCTGGAAGTTTGAGGACCAAAGTGTAATTTTGGGGAAACTTTTGTAAAACCCTCATAAGCTTTGGAAACTCGCCCAACTTGATGCTAAGATAATTTTAGACTACTTTTGGAGGCAAGAACAAGAGTGAGAAGATCAACCAAACATTAGAGTTTTTCTATCTCCTTTTAATTTTTTCAATTTTACATTATAAACAATTTAGTAATTTTCTTTTATTTTTTTATGAGTAGCTATACACTTATCTAGGGTTGATGGAACCAATTGTTGGTTGAAATTTTGACTCAAGTTGTTATAATCGAGCCGGATTTATGATATGATTGTTCAACTACGTTTTGTATGGTGATTAATTGAATGGGCCCTTGATTAATCGTGTCTAATTACCTTATATTGCTTGAGAAAGAATATTAGGTTAGATAGCTGTTGAACAACACCACTTTTGGGTAACTGAAGAGATTCATTACTTGAACTTAAAAGTGGGTTTAGAGATAACAAAACTTTGGTGGGATAATTTAGAGTTGCATAACTATTGTCAGCCAGAGTAGTTCGAGAGAATGCTCTAGTAAATTATTGTAGTTGATCGAGAGATAATTACGATAACCCATAACTCTTAATCCTCATAGAGTATTACGGCGAGATTATAGCGGAAGAGTCAAGACCTAAACTAGCAATTGGGGAAATCACTGCTCTAGACCTTTTTACCATTGAATTATCTTTGTTTTAGCTTACTGTTGTTTTAATTGTAGTTGAAGTATTTAAACAAAAACCCAATCTTTATTGATCAAAAATATTGCATCTAGAGATTGATTGAGTTGATAATAACTTTGCCGAAGCGTGTAATATATAGGTTAATTCCCTGAGGATTCGATTCCGGACATAAAACCGGATTATATTTGCAACGACTGCTTTGTCCTTTAAAATGCATAGTTGGGCATTATCAGTTATAAATAGAATTGTATTTATGGTGAATGTCTATATTTAGAGATATTTTTGGGTTTGTTACTTGGTGGCTGAGTCACTTTCCCCCATAAATAGAGGGGTTCTATTCCATTATAATTGATCTCAAAAATCAATAAGAATTCTCTTTCCCTACTTTTCTCTGAAATACTCTTCTTCTTTTAATGTTTTACAGTCCTAGCAACAACTGCAAAAAAGGTAAAGGCATTACGAAACATGGAAGTGGAATATGAGAGGGTATTTGGAAAAGGACTTCACTTACGATTGAAGTTCCATATCTCCGGGAATAGCATTTTTCCCCTAGGGATGACGTCCAAGGTTCTCAATTTGACAAACCGGCTCATCCAGCCTCGATCTTTATCCTCGCCGTTACTAGCAAAGAAGGCCTTTTTTGATCGACATTGGAGCTTGATGAGCCCTCAAAACAACTGAGCCCGATACAACCAAATGAGATGGTTGAGGGTAAACTCTAATCCCTCGGCCTCGCTGGAGAAATAGAGCAGTATAATCACGATACGCCAAAATGAGGGATGGAACTGGCCAAGAGTAACCTCATACCTTTTGCAAAAGTCAATCACTACTGGATCAAGGGGACCCATCGTGAAGAGGTAAGTGTAAACACTTAATAACCCCTCCACGTGAGTAGTGATGCTCTCCTCGGGGTCGGGGATCTGTACCACGACTTCGTCGTCCTAACCACAGTCCTTCTTCATGGCCTTAAGATGCTTCTTCGATATTGAACTAATATATCGAGATACATGTTTGCATCGGCCAGGGATATTGTGGGATTTTCAATATTGAAATCCTTCTTTATCACACAGGGGACGGGAATGATTTCGTGAAGGGCCAACGACACAAGTTTGGCCGTCCGGGAAGAAGAAGAAGAAGATGCCTTCTCTTTTTAGGGGACTGCTTTAGAAGTTTTGGCCATGGTTTTAAGTTAAGAGATGCAGAAGGTAGCGGAGCGTGGTGTTTTCTGGGAGCTTGGCGTTTTCCAGCACTTAAAGGGAGGTGGAAACAGATGATGAGAGAAGATGAAGAGGAAAGGGGATCAGAGTGAATGTAATGAAGAAGTACAATTCTTAATTCAAAGAAGGAGCCTCATATTTATAGATGAGCGTCGGCGGCGCTAGTGGCCGATCATTACTGGCATGTATTTAATGTTTTGGGGAAGCAAATCGGCGAGACGTTTTTGGTCACTTCGAGCGCGTACATCACGGGAATGACGTCATCATCAGAGACTTCGGAAAATCGAAGTTCAAATTGTTTCTTATTATCTTACTCTAAGAAACGCGGGTACTATCTATATACGGTCGAAATCAGGTATGCCCAATTTTCCGGCCTCGAGGGGTCGCCTTAAACCCGAGTTTAGGATGGATCGAGTTCGAGCTTGGTGGACCAGGCTAAAATTCGATGACAGAGTACAGGGCTCAAAGAACTAAGTGTTCGAGGAACGCCGGAGCCTAATATGACTGGCCTCGAGATAATGCCGTCATGAATTTGTAACGGAATGAGTAAGATTCCTTCCACGTCCCCAAGATCGTGGCGTAAATCCCGAAATAGATTTGTACGAATTCGTACTAGGCGGTTAGACAACTGTCCCAATAAGATTCTTTAATGTAAATAGAAATGTACCTTATTTAGGGTTCCCCTATTATATAAAGGGGACCCAATCGTTTGTAAACATCATCAATCATTGGCAAAGAATATACTCTCTTACGTTCTCCCTCATTGTTCATTAGATTTGTCTTTTAGCTTTATTATTCTTGCTTTACTGTTCTTGATTCACCTCGAGGTCACTTTGGCTCGAGGTCGAGACTGGCTTAAATACTAGTTTTTGTTTTACTTACTTCCTTCATTTATACTCTAGATTTCTTGGTTATTAATTAGTATTGAACTAAATCACGTATTTTTTAAAACCATAAATCAAGTTTAATTGTTACTCGTACTTTCGAGGTAAACAGCCTTAAATTCAAGTGGTAGACCGGAACACATTACAAGTAGAATAGGGAGACATCTATTATGCAAAATCATAATTACATTATTATACGACATAAGATTCAATCCATCAATCAGTTCTCCGAATTACAAAACATGAATATCTGAATGAACATAGGATTGAAAATCCTGAGTACATATATTCCTTCATTATACTGCTCGATATTTAATAAAAGCATCCGTAGTTGTTGCATGCCACAAATAAAAATACATAAAATGCACTAATTGTATAAGCTGAAAGATATTAAAGAAAAGACTTAACATAAAAAAGCTGCAAAAGTAGTGTTGAACTGATCGATCTTTAATTGGTTTTCAGTTGTGTCTTGGAGGGTGATGCCTTGGTGATTTATAATCTGCTGTAAATGCAACAAATTCAGCCCTTTCTTTCTTCCCTCCAGATTGCGAAAGTGGACGTCTGCTCATAATTTGTTCACCTTTTACGTTTACATTTAAACCCACCCTCTCTTGCTTGGTTGCTACTATATTAATATCTTCTTTCATGAATTTTCCTGTATATGCCTTTTGGGATCCTTTCATTTTATTTCCTCTTATCACAGCTGCTTCATGTTCTCCACCAGTATTTGCCTATGATATCCAAAATAAATAACAAATTATAAAATCATAAACTGTGTAATCTAAAAATGTGTAAACTGAAAATATATCAATATTTATAATTAACCTGTATATATTCACGGATAATGTAAGAAAAAGTTACATTGCTAGATTACCTAAAAGATAATTACAGATGTTCATCTATAAGAAATGGGACTAACATGGAAAATAAGACAGGTTACATGTTATAACAGATCAAAATACATTGTACAAAAACTTTTTACTATCTGTGTACACGTCAAAACTTTATATGAATAGGGAAAGGAATCAAATTAAACGAAATGAATGTTTCATTACAAACAAAACCTCTCTATTTGGTGCTGAATTGCGTCTTTTATTTGCACCACGACCTATACTCAAATCTCCTGCAAAATATAGGCTATTAAATCCTAGAAGTATAGATTTCTAGTAATACATTTTAGTTCTCAAGAGTAGAACATCCAAAATGAAATAATGAAAGAAAAACATTTATACCTTGGTAAGAACTCGTGCTTGGGAGAATATGAGCAATTAAGATTAGGAGTACTAGTAAGCATAAAATTCTAATAGGCAGCATTCTTCTTCTTCTTCTTCTTCTTTATTTGGGGTATGTCTGTTTTTTTCAAGCATCTAAAGACAAAGAATGAATGCAAGAATACAAAGTGATCTTTATAGGGAGAGTACAGAAGTCAAACATATGTTGTAAATACCAAAAACTTCCACGTTTCGCAAATCCCAAGTTAATGCAGAAGACTAGGGCTCCAAATTTAAAACTTCAAATTCACGTTAACAAATTAAGTACGTACATTTACAAAGGGGACCAAGTTAATTTGCATGCATTCCAATTATAAAAGATTTTTCGTGAAAATTTGGTGATGATCCATGTGTCACTCAAGTTACCAGTTCTAGGATCTCGAGATTGTTGAGAAATTCATCAAAAATACATTGACACCGATCAATGTATCTCTTTATTTTTTCTTCTTTGTGTATCTGGTATTCGATGTTGGGGACAATAATTTAAGTAAATAAAAAGCGTGATTTTTCTAACAACTTACAATAACAACAACAATTATAACAAGTCCAGTAAAATATTATAAGTATGATTTGGGGAGGATAAAGTGTACGTAGATCTTATCCCTATCTAGTGAATGTAGAGAAACTCTTTCCGAAAGATCCTCGTTTCAAAGGAAGTGAAAATGAAGCAACTTAAGTTTTTAAATGAAATATATATGGTCACACACTTCTACATGATATCAGATTAGATACATATCTTGATTCCGAATCTTATAACCACATATTATTAAAGAATTTCTACGTACTTAACTTATCATAAAGAGTCAAGCTCACACGTGAAGGAGCATATTAGAGATATTATAATTAAGTAAAATATAAAATTTTGCGCTCTCTAACAACTTCAACTTTTAAATGAGATGATCACACAGTTCTGTATTCGAATAATGTTGATTAGATTAATCCAAATTTGAATCGAGAAAGCTTACTATGCAAGTAAACTGCTCTCTATGGAAATGGAATTCATTCCACCAGCTCAAATTAAACTCGATCTGCTATTAACGGGGGAGAGGTATCATTCAACTACAAGTAGGGGTAACAAACGGGCGGGTAGGATCAGATATGGACGGGTCGAAAGTAGGTAATACAAAACGGATAAATTATCCGATCCAACACTTATTTAATACGGATAAAAAATGAGTTAACCGGTGGATAATATGGATATTCATATTATCTATGACTACTTGAATATGATCACTTTTGGGAGAATTCCTATTCTCCTAAACTTGAGAAACCCCTAATTTGAGGCTTTACAAATATAAAAGTTAAACTCATTAGTTATCCATTGGCTACATAAATAATATAGTTATCCATATTGGACCTATTTTTAAAAAATTCATTATTTAATGGATAATATGGGTGGATAAATGTTTTTCATTTTGGCCCCCTAACAACAATTATAGAAATTCGAAGTGAATGAGTGGTTTAATTAGAACCGTTAATTACAAGTGGGGACTCAAACTGTTGGGGGGTGAGAAATATTGTACTATAACGTGGAGAGGAAGGTATAAGTGTTTCGTGCTTGTCTGCCGCCATGCACTCAACGAGAAGTGATTTTTCTGTCTTTTTTCTCCCAATGTATGGATCGCCTCCACTTTACTTTTTGCCATGTGTTTCTCCTTAAAAAGCAGTTTGTTTCTCTTTTGGGAATACTCTTCGTTGATACTGAGATAAAATAAATTAAAGAGGATGATGGGTAAAAGCTGGCCTAAAAACCATCGACATGGAACCGTTGTGTTTGAGTTAATCTGATTATTTAGGCTGTTTACTACTTTTTTTTCCACCTCACTAAAAAAAATAAAAATAGTGTTCGCTTGCATATGAGAATTGATAAGACTAATTTTGAAACCAAGGGGCCAGCAGCGACATAAGTTTTGAATCAAGAGCTCTTTAAACAGAAAAGTGAGTGCTACATTGAAATACTAGCAATTTATGATGGACTTTTATGAAAACATGGATAACTGAAATGACCACTTCTTCATTGAGTACTGTGGAAAAGTTTCCAATACCAATCTATTCATTTAATGTCACTGGGTACTTACTGAAAAAAGTGAGCAGCACTATCTATATCTACAAAAATACCCCTCTTAATATAATGATTTTTACAATATTATTTAAAAAGATAATTTGATTAAATTACCCTTGTAATTATTTGATCTCAAACTATTACTATTTTTACTTTTATGTTAATCTCTCTCGACGATATTAGAGTAAGGGTAAGAGTAGAAAAAATTAATTAAGTCATTTTTCTTTAAATTTTCTAAGATGACAAGAACTAATTACTTTTAATAACAATGATAACTAAAAAAAGAATCGGAGGGAGTAGTTATCTCAGAATACTTGACGTTCTACAAAATTAAAAAAGAACTATTTTTTTCAATTTGATACCTTTAGCATTAATAAAATGACCATTCACTGGAGAGATATTGAGGTGGAGAAGTGTGTACGGGTATCGGGGTAATGTCTACCCCGATTCCCCCGATGAGAGAACAAAGGGGGCATGGATCCACGAGATTGTAATCGAGGCCAGAAACCCATCGTATGGAGACCCAAAAAGAGAGAACGATATATCCAATATCGGACACGGTAAAGCGACACACCCCAGATCGAAAATAACTTATAGATCTTGGGAGAGCGGTGGATGATTATGCATGACGCATAGAGGGCCGTAATAATCGCCCTCAACCGGATATTACGGCGCGAATTTCGCTCAGAATTGATTATGGATCAACAATTACCGGGAAAAGAAGATCTTTACCTCTTTTAGACTTGTACTAGGACTAAAATTCTCCTACTATATAAAGAGAAAGTTTTTCTTTAATCTGACACATTGTAACACGCAATTCAAAGCAATAAAAGTTTATTTTTGCCTTCTAGCTACTGTTAAAGACTTTGCTCCTTTGTTCTGTTCTTCATTCACGACTGGGCTTGAACTTAGGGTCCAATAGAGGATGAGATCACTGTTCAATCTAATATCGGGCTTAGACATAACATTGCAATTGGTTTAAATGTTTATTTCATCTTTAATTCATTTATCTGTTATTCTTAAGTGTTCATGTTGAATTAAACCACAAATCCTTTAAACCACGTACAAATTTAATTGTTACCCAATTTTGGGGTAAATACTTTCGCGCTCACGGTGGGGCTAAGGATAATAGCGGTGATTTGATATGAACCTCCATAACACACCCTATTTTACGCTTATTCATTGAAATCTTAATTCCAGGTCAGCCTAAAAATGTCAAACTCTCAATCGGCTCACTTGAACGTTGACGTTGAATCAGGCCATCACAGCGCAAATAATAATGTGGTACCTAGTAATGATGTGCTTCCTGCCGATCCCAACGGTGTCCTAGCCGCCAATCCAATCGATGCTAACTCGCAGGCGGCCATCAACATCAACTTGCCAACTGATCCCCAAAACAGAGTTCACGGGGGACCCCGACCAACAGCTTGAAAAGCGCCCGAAGGTGTATGTGATGGGGTGAGCCTACGACTGATTTTTGAAATGCTACAGGCTCAAAAAACGGCAATAACACAGCTGCAGAATCAAAGCCACGCCCCCAACAAGGTCGAGCCCAAACAATCCTGGGAAAGCACTCAAAGAGACGAACAAATTACCGAGAGATCGGGTGAAGCTGAACCCGAGGTAAATTCTAAGGTAATGAATATGTTCGAGACCTTGAAAAAACAGGTAGAGTTAGGCGAGAAAGATTGAGGATAATGACAAGAAGATGGAAATATACAACTTCATGGTCAATCAGATCCTGGGAGCACCCCCGATATTGAACGGAATGGACTCCAAAAAATTTATCCAGAAGCCCTTTCCTCACAGCACGACACCAAAGCCGATCCCAAAGAGGTTTCGTTACTCGACATCCCCAAATATAATGGGACCATGGATCTAAATCAGCATGTGACCTCCTATACATGCGCAATCAAAGGGAACAATTTGGAAGACGATGAGATCGAGTCGATGTTACTGCAAAAGTTTGGGGAAACTTTGTACAAGGGTGCAATGATATGGTATCACAACTTGCCCCCAAATTCCATTGACTCGTTTGTTATGCTCGCAGATGCTTTCATAAAGGCCCATGCAGGGCCATCAAGGTCGAGACCAGAAAGTCAGATCTTTTCAAGGTCAAACAAAGGTATAACAAGATGCTAGGGAGTTCATGTCAAGATTCCAGATAGAATTGATGGACCTACCATCGGTATGATAGGCCGTTCTAGCAATCACTCAAGGGCTCAACCCCCGAAGTTCCTTGGCCTCTAAACAGCTAAAACAAAATTTGTTAGAGGACCCGACAGAAACCTAGGCCGACGTCCACAACAGGTACCAATCAAAGATCAGGGTCGAGGACGACCAACTTGGAGCCCCTTATTGATCTGTTTACCCCATCAGGTCTGATTATAGATCTAAGAGAGCCATCGATCAAGATCCAAGACCGGTCCAAGATCGATACCAACCATACAGTGCAGATCGAAGAGTAAATAGATTCGATCATCACCTAGCAAGGAGCGAGAAGAGAAGCGATCGAGGGCATAATGGCCGGGTTCTGATGAGCAAGAATAGATTCAACAGGTCGCTCGGAAGTAGGGAGGCACCAAGGTTATCGGAATATAACTTCAATGTAGATGCTGCATGCATCGTATCGGCCATAGGGCGCATCAAAGAGACCAAGTGGCCTCGACCGTTGCAGTTTGACCCAGCACAGAGAGATCCTAACTTGATATGTAAGTATCACAGCACTCACGGTCATAGGACCGAAGATTGACGACATCTAAGAGAAGAAGTTGCTCGACTGTTCAGCAATAGGCCCCTCCGATAATTCCTAAGTGAACGAGCCAAAAACCACTTCAAAAATAGGAACGTTAACAAACAGGTCGAACAAAAGGAGTCTCAGGACATGATCAACATGATCATTTGGGGGAGGGGGGTCGAAGTTCCCCAAGGGCCAATGATAAAACGCACTAAACTATCTATTACGAGGGAAAACGCATCAAGGATTATGTTTCGGAGGAGCCCTTTCGTTCAGCGACGAAG